TTGTGAATAAAAGCTTGCACATGGATCCGCACGCCTCTCGTCTCGTCAGCCCCGTTACATGTTCATTGTCAAACTCCAAAATCAGATTATTTTTCATTCTTAAAAATCGCCATTATTTTATTTGAAATAATTATTTTATTGACAATATTTTAATTTGTCTTGCATATTTTTTTCATGCTAGTAACGCGGGGTAAGTTGTAACAGACGTGGTTTAAATATTTCCACACATGCTAGCATAACCAAATTTACAGCATTTACTAGTTACCATATCAACATATAGAGAAAAAAAGTGCACCAAAATGCAAAAGTTTTTTGAAGATATCGCTGGACATTTATTTTACCATAGTAAAATTATATTTCTGGCTTAAGTGAATTTATCTGTTTTTATTACTCATTTAAAATGAGACAAATCTGCTATTATTCTAATCTCCAATCTGTTATTTATCAGTTTAGCTTATTTTTTAATGCTTCGCTAACTATCAGAAGACAGTAACCGGTTTTAAATTCCAGTTGCACAGATGGGGCACGTTGTAACACTGCGTTACAATGTGCTATTCTATGAGTTACAACGTGCCCCTCAGCTGTTACAATGTACCCCACCTATGGGGCATGTTGTCACATTTCACTTCCAATTTTTGAGGGTAAATAAAGAAAAACGTATACACTGTAATTATGAAACAAAGCAACATATTTGTACAAGACAAGTGTGAAATTACTGTGGATAAAAAAATTATACTCTGAACCCCATGTGGATTTACACAATTTGAGAAAGTCAAAAAGTGTTACTTTGTGCCCCGCTCTCTCCTATTCCATGTCCCTCAGAGCTGCATTAAACAGTGGGTAAATGCATCTAAATGCCACTTCAGAGGCAGCTTCTGTGTTTCCTCTGCATCGCAAAGATGAATTTTGTCAATACTGATTTCATTTGCTTGGTAACAGCCCAAATGTCTTATTATTCTAATTGACTGATTAAATGTAAATGTAAAAAAAAAAAAAATGACTCAAAAGGTGATGCACACTTTTCTAGAAAAAAAAAGTATTTTTAAAAGGTAAAGAATGCGCATAAAAGCTAAAAATCTATTTAAACTTATTGGAAAAGATTAATTTCTATCACTGCTGTGAACTGATCACCACACAGAATATGAAGAATATCAAAACTTTAGGAGTCAGCTGTCCACGGTAGTCCTTAAGATATCAGCACAAGAACACGTTATTGATAAAATACCAGAAAATATCAAGATATGTATTTTTTGTCAATATCACACACCGCTGGTAAAGAATAAGTAATACGACCCCAGTGGATCAAGGGCTGTCAATCTACAGTTTGGTGAAGCTACAAACCAAAACGCAGCCCAAAAGTCGCATGTATAGATACTGTTCACATATATTTGCCATTGTTTGATGTCCTGAAACAATTATGCTACTAGTTGAGACCTTTTCAAGGATATATGGCCAGTCCCAAAAGTCGCATGTATAGATACTGTTCACATATATTTGCCATTGTTTGATGTCCTGAAACAATTATGCTAGTCGAGACCTTTTCAACGATATATGGCCAGTCAGTGTCTGTTATAAAACATCACATTTTCAAGTAAAGTCATATTTTTATTTTCAATTTAGGCATATATTTTCAGCCTTTTTCTTTTTCAGCCAAAAGCACCAAGGTCCACTCACTTGAAAATGTCTGGCCTCGCCACTGCAATGTAGAAAGCATTTTCAGGCAACACAGGTAACTTATTCACATAGGATCCGTTCTTGCGTGTCAACTTAAAAAAAATATATATATATATCGTTAACGTCTCTTGATCCAAGTCACTGCGCTCATTCGTGCCTATGATGATCATGCGTGCTGTCTATGTAGGCAGCTTCTTAGGTTTGCCATACAACCCCATCAAGTCAACACACTAAGATTCAACCAATTTTACACATATTACAACCTTGACTACCGAGTCCGGACGTGTTGTAGCAAATACTGGGTTACTTACTCACCCTAAAGACGAAATAATCCTTGACTTTGGCTCGCATGGTTGGGTTGTGGACATGGAAAGGCGTGAGGGTCTGTAGCGGGGTGCAGCAGGCCACCGAAGCTCCAGCTCGGGATAAACCCAGCCCATCATCACAGTCCGCCGGGTGTAAAACAGCCGCACCCGGGCTCTCCGGCTCTACGCTGTCATTCAGCTGCAGCATTTCACTAAAGCGTCGAGAACGAGTCGCAAATACCTGTAAAAAGTGACTGCGCTCGGTTCCCGCAGCGGCGCTGTGTGTGTTGCGCAGGGGACGCCCACCTGCTCCGCTCTACGGACGATTTAAAGGGACCCGTTCTGTTTATGAGTTACATTCGACACATTATTGGTGGCGGTAATGCACCTAAAAGTTGTATGCCATCCGCCATTAAACACCAAGAAGAAGAAGAAGAAGAATGAGTTACATTCGGATTTTTAAAGGAACAGTTCAGCCAAAAATGCTGGACGCGACCGGTCAGTTGGAAACATTACTTACGTCTCGTTGAAATCGCAGGAGAGCTGGGTAGTAACTGATTACATGTAATCTGCATTATGTGATCAGACTCCAAAAATCTAGTAGGCTACTCATAATTACAGTATACTACATTTTAATTTATAATGCTTATAATCAGATTACATTTTTATGGATTTTTTTTTACATTTATAACGCATTTATTTGTGACCTGTGCCCTGTGCTAAATGAGTCACAATGAGCACATTTTCAAAAATGAGTTATTTTAATTGTCACATTCTCCTTTAAAAGACCTTTAAAATTATGTATGGTTTGTTGGAATCGGACGAAAACTGAACCCGTTTGAAGTCGGCGAAGTCAGCAAAGTAACTTCTTTTTCCAAAGTTTTCCAAAGCAAAATCAGATGAAAAAAAAAAAAAAAAAAAACGTAACAGTAGAACAAATACAAGAAAGAAACAAATGGGCCTAGTGCAGAGAAGTGAGCAGAGAAAAAGGTAGGCCTACTCCTCTCAGAAACAAATAAAGATAATTTTAGATCTTTAATTACTGTTTGGAGCATTGGGGTTGCTATATGCGAGGGCTTAATGAAAATTTTTCCACATTTCTCACTGTTTTGTCTGTAGTTCAAAATTAGCTCTGAATAGCAGTTAGTGTGAATGTCATGTCAGTCAGTTCTTTGCCAAGTCAGAAAAATACAGCGAGGTCAGTGTAGTTCAATTCCCGATGGAATTACTCTTACGACTTTTTTTAATGAATCAAAAACATTTACTTGAGGAGCTTGCCAGCTCTAAATGGGCAGGAGTTTAGCTCCAATAGACCTTGCAGGTTATTGAAATTAACGTGGATGAAAACGGGGCTGTAAATATGTATTCAATGGATTGTACTGTTGTTTAATAACATTCTGATTGTTCAGCTGATGTCTTAACAAAAAACAAACAAAAAAAATCAGTAGACAAAACTCCATAAAACAGTTTTGAAAGTTGTAAGTGGTGAAAATTACGATCTAGGACCTAAAAAGTTAGCATGCTTCAAGTACAATAAAGTTATTAAATAAAAATATAAAAGCCTTAACATTTGCAGCACACAATGTCAAATTGTAATACAACCTAGTATGCAAGTGCAGAAATGAAATGCAAAAGAAAAAAAGATATATATGAAGTTGTTATATGAAGCATTTATTGCAGAAGAAGTGTGTTTTCAGCCTTTTCCTTAAAGTTGTGATGGTCTCAGTAGATTGGGTGGAGGACGGCAGCTTGTCCAAGAAAAGAAGGGTGCCGTTTCTGGAATTCGACTTTGTCCTTTATTGTAAAAAAAAACCCCTAGGCATTACTCACTCACTATAAACGGTGCGATGGAACATACATACATACAATTGGTCATCAAGCTTCCTTGCTTGTTGCCTTTAGTGTTGTAGAACCCAAGTGAACTGTGATGTTGTGGTCAACTGTCAGGTTGGCAGCAGTCCATTAGATCTGGTCTGTCAAATAAAACGAAACTGCTAAGTGAATTAATTAGATCTTTAAGGGAAGAAAATTGCTATATACTGACTTTTGTGACAAAGAAACGTTTAAAAAATTCATTTCTCAATTGACAGAAAAAAATTGCAATTTTAACAGGGAATCCAGTGTATTGATGTCATGACCTCCAGAAAGAGAGAGAATGACACAAGAATACTCTTTACAACATACTATGCTTTGGGACACACACGTGTTCTAATCTCACATTCTGTTTAGAATGGATAATATGAACATTGGGTTGTATGGCAGAGCTCCTCAGATCTTGTCCTGGAGGGCCAAACACACCTGAGCAAGCTAATCAAGGTCATAGGATCCAGGGGCGTAGCGTCTGGGTATGCAGGGTATGCACGTGCATATGGGCCCAGGCTGATTGGGGGCCGGCCGAGGGGACCTTTTAATTAAACCGAACAAATTCTTAATTCGTGGCCATAATAAATATGCTGTAGAACTTTTGTTTTGGCACAATTAATAGATTAATCAGACCAAAGACTGCCCATTTAATAAAACCAAAATTAATTATACCTCGCGTAACACCGTCTACATAAGAGCCAGCGGCAAATTCCTGAAGGACTGTGGTAGAACTGTTTCATATTCTATAACTACGTGCAAGCGCTGCATTGCCCGGTCAAATAAAATAATAGTTAATAATTAAAAAAAATAACTTTGTGAAGAAGATGGTAGCTATCTAGTTGAAAAGACTGTATCACAACTGTATTACGTCTAGCTTTAGTGACACCTGCACCATTTTAATTCTCTTTCTTTCATTTTAATTCTCTTTTATCAAAAGATTATCAAAAGTAGCCTTCTTTCCATTGAGAATACACGAAGCCATTAAGGACATTGTAGATGAATCTGCCAAAAGTAAGGCCCAGACAATTTCATTAAATGAAATTAATTACAACTCAAATGTGAGTAGTTTCCTTTTTTTTCTTCTTTCATTCGTTCTGTATTTTTGCATTTTTGGCCGCTGTGCCAAGAGTGTGTTTGCCTTATTTGGTAAATATGGCAGCGTTTAGTGCCATAACATTTTTAGAATGAAGTCAAAATTAAAGTTGTGTTATATTGTGTGAATAATGTTAATTAATGTGAAAATTACATTCAATTACATACAATTACCTACTCCAAAAAAAAAAAAAAAAAATGTATACAAATTTTTTTAATGAAAATAATAAATGTTGGCAAAGTTATATTGATGGTGTTTTAGAGGTAAATGTTATGTTACAACTGTTATGACACAACAAGCTGTTTTATTGATGATTTTCGAAACACTGACTGATTGATTACATGGGATATTCACTTTATTAAATTGTTCAGGGCAGCAGCCCTCCAGGACCAATTTGAGGAACCCTGCTGTATGTTCTGTAGAGTTCACATATTATCCTCTGCAGTATGAGCAAATTGATTTAAAGACCAATTTGTTTAAAGAATTGAAGAATGAACAAGTGTGACATGTTGATTTCAAACAAAATCAGGCAGTTGTTAGTTTATTTTGGGAGATCAAAAAATCTGGAATGAACCACTTTGTGCATGTAAACATTGTCACTGTAATGTGTGTTTAAAGATAAGGAGGGATAAGTCAAAATAAATGTTAATGGTAAATGAAATTAAACTGAAAAATGTTCCTCTAATTCAGAGAGAACTTCCTGAAGCTGCGTGTCAATGAAAAGTGATGAATCTATGCACCATTCTATGAATCACTACAAAGATTTCTAGTGGAGTGACAATGACGAAAAAGAGTGTTTACCTCAGAGCTTTGAAAGTTTGTGCATAACGGAATACTGTTTAACTGCTTCTGCGTTTTAGTCTAAATCAGAAAGAATCTCCTGAACCCAGCTGTGTTTCCATGAAAAGCGAACAGTCAATAGATGACGTAATCAACTTTAATTCAGGAGACTCTTCTGCTGATCTGAGGTGAGGACAGTTTCATGGTGTATTAGGTCTCAAAGTGTAATTTTGATTTGATAGGGTCCTTAAAATGCAAATACTGCAATGTGTAAATATACAGTATCTCACAGAAGTGAGTACACCCCTCACATTGACCAGTATGAGAGAGTGAGAGTGATAACACCCAATTTAACACACCTGCTCCCCATTCACACCTGAGACCTTGTAACACTAATGAGTCACATGACACCGGGGAGAGAAAATGGCTAATTGGGCCCAAATTTGTACTCAATTGGGCCCAAAAGTGTACTCACTTTTGTGGCCAGCGGTTTAGACATTAATGGCTGTGTGTTGAGTTATTTTGAGGGGACAGCAAATTTACACTGTTATACAAGCTGTACACTCACTACTTTACATTGTAGCAAAGTGTCATTTCTTCAGTGTTGTCACATGAAAAGATATAATAAAATATTTACAAAAATGTGAGGGGTGTACTCACTTCTGTGAGATACTGAACATATTTGTAAAATGTACATGCACCAGTGAGCTTTCAAGGAAAATTTATTTTCACTGCTGTACTCCTGCGTGCCCCCACAAGCTTCATTTTGAATATGACCACTTCCACAGAACTTTGTTCCATGTCCACGTTTACAATGATTTTGTTCTTACCAATTTCACTTTATGCCTTTATAGGCATTTTATATATTTTTTAAATATATTTTTAGCAATGCACAATAAATGGTGATGAGTTGGCAGTTGAGATTCTACAGCATATTTTACTGTTAATTTCAAAGTTATTCTGGGACACAGTTTGCATTTGGAGAAGTGTTTAGTAACTCCCTTTTTTTTTTCTTTTTTTTTTACACCATTTAGACATATGCACATTCATCTATGGTATGGTTGTTGTGTGCTTAAGAAAATACTATTTTACCAGGAAACTCAATGTGGAGGAAGAGGATGAAATCCAGAGCAAAGTCAAGTTTCCAAACATTACATTGCCCAAAGTCACTTTCATTCCATTAGTCGGATATATCAAACATTCTGAAGCAGGTCCCAATGTGGATTGAACTCACAACCCATGATAAACAAGACCAGGATCTCAGCTGATCTAGTCACTCGTGTATGAAATATAAAGACTTCATCTTGAGTCAGAACAACAAAGACTGGAGATCTGACAGACAGACCATAACAAATGATCTGATGCTGAGAGACTCTGAATGATGTTGATTTAAAGGCAATATAATAATAAAGAAAAGAGAAATTGGACAAGGCTTTACCCAGAGACAGCGTATGCCAAAGAGCAACATAATT